CTTCTGGGAAGGCTGTCCACAAGGTTTAGGAGTGTGTTTATGGTCAAAAATTCCCATAAACACACTCCTAAACCTTGTGGACAGCCTTCCCAGAAGAGTTGAAGCTGTTCTAGCTGCAAAGGGTGGACCGACGTCATATTGAACCCTATGGATTAGGAACAGGATGTCACTTAAGCTCATATGTGAGTCAAGGCAGGTGAGCAAATACTTTTGGCAATATAGTGTATATATATATATATATATATTATTGTGGTTATTATGTTACTAGATATAAAAAAGTTCCAGAGATGTCAATATTTATGCAACTTAGGCACAACAATGTTGATGTAAAGCTTGGTGTTGCTGGGCTGCTTTTTTTTGTTTTTACAAAAGGTGACTTTTCTGCTCTCATAACGTCCACAGGGTGAATGCCTCCTGTTGTCAGCACAATGTGACAGGAAATATTAACTTAGCCATTGGACCTCAGGTGATGGTTTGCAAATTATTGCCTAGAGCTAAGAGCCAAGCAAACGGTTGGGTTAAGAAGTCTGCATAAAACACAGACTAATACCAAAATATCCTGTTCCAGAGTTTGCAGATTTTGCTTTACAAGAACTACACAACAGGCTATTCATGCTTAGGCTGCAGTGTGTGGTTGAGGACCGCCTCATTGCAACAATGGGTCCAATTGTGACTTAGAGCTCATTTTTGCATTTTAAATAAAGTTTGAGAAGTTGAATAAGAAAATAGTTCAAGATTTCTCTTAGTCTCCCTTTGGATATATTCTTAGAGGCGAAAGCTGCTAACACAGTTACAATGTAACTTTTATAGTTACAGGAGAGAAAAGAAATATGTATATATTGTCGACACAAAAATAAAACTCAAGTTTTTGGATTGTAATAAATACATTAAAACTTTAATTTATTCCTATTTTGATTTTCTAAAATTATACAAAGGTGTATACTGCGCTTCAGAGGGAAGCGCATTTTGAAATGTTTGCCATTAATGTGGTTTGTTCTTGACTGTTAAGAGGAAATCGGTTTGTCCGAGGCCTTCAAAGAAAACAAGCAAATTCTGAGTGTGGTTAAGGAGTATCTTAAGAAAAAGTCCTCAAGAAAAAAAGGAAAGCATACAAGTAGAGAACATTAGAAAGCAACTGCTAACATCCATATCTATCCATGCGAGAAACTACCCTGAGAGCAGGTTGGAAGATAGAAAGGAAGTCTTCCAAATGTGTTTGAGGCTCTTGTCCTGTTGCTGGTGAAGATTCTCAGTCATCCAGGTCATAGTCATTCCGTAAAAATTTAAAAAACAATCCACTGGACTTGGTTTCCAAGGTTTGAAGATGTTTCGCTTCCCCTCCAGGAAGCTTTCTCAATTCAAAATGTCTGGATTCGAGTTTGAGGCTTTATATAGACAAGGCCTTGTATTGCTTGGAAAAAGTGCATGCCCCTGTTACGGCCAAGACACCTTACAGCTTTTGCTAAATTTTATAGGCTATGAGAAGGAAACCTTTGCTTTACAAAACAATGAAAGAATAGACAAAGACCAGAAATTCAGAAAAAGAAAAGTGGACCAAGCAATTTAGAACTCAAATCACTGGACACCAGAACACAAAAAATGGAATAAATGGAGCAAAAACCAGTATTTCAAGAAAACAACTTCATACCAGCTGGAAAACATACAGGTTAATTAATTCCAAGGACATTACAAAAGCGAACACTTATCATGACTCAAATGGCTTAACACATAGCCCATACACAACAAAAGACACTTAAACCCAGGTAGACAACAGTTTGATAAATGGTTGACAGCTGACTTGGAATGTGCTTTTCAGAATGGACCGCCATGCTTCTTATAATCATCAGCGCTTCAACCACAGTTCGCTCTAGTGTGAGACGACAGAATTGAAAAGACTTCTGGAAATAAAACTAAGCGAAAGGTTCGTTGCCTCAAGTTACGCCTGTTTCATAGGTCAAAGTGTTTTAAGTCTGGACATGCTCTTTAGCAGAAGTACTTTTATATCTCATCATTACATTACAGAATGTCTCTGATTGTGTATCAGAGAGTAAATTTTTTTTTTTTAAAAGAACTTATGAAAAACTGGACCCTGTGACTTCACCCAGAAATAAATCCTTATAACCTCAGATATTTGACTGAGAGTGAAAAAAAGCTTGAGCCTCTTTGAATGTACACTGCAAAAAAATTTTAATCTAATTAAGTCATGTTTTCCTAAAATAAGTGAATTTTTTTCTTGAATTGAGGGGGTAAGTGAGACATTTTGCCAATGAAATGAGACAATTTACACTTAAAATAAGAAAAAAGAACTGCGTTGTCTTATTTCAAGTGCATATTATCTAATTAACTTATTCTAAGAGTAAAAATGCTCATTCCATTGGCAAACTATCTGATTTTCCTGCTCAAATCAAGAGTAAATTCATTTAATTTAAGGCATTTTCACTTATTTCTACATCATTTTTGCACTGTACTGAGCTGCTCTGGTTGCCTTAAAACCGCACGTATATGCGTTAGTAATATGTATTTCCATTTATGTATTTTAGGTGAAACAACAAATGTTTGTTGTT